GAAAAATAGATTTATTTATAATTACAGATCCTGTGTCAGTGTTTGATTTGTTTTTCCCCCCTCTGCGACATCGAGGGACATCTGACTCAGATGATGTGGGAAGAGACTTCTTGGTCTGAGTGTAAATAATTAACTTCCGCTGAAGGAGATAAAAGAGACGTGGAGTTAAACTGTAACCTGCTGGCCGTGTTCCGCTTTTAGCCTGGGAGAGACATCTGGGTATAATGGGACCATTTTCCAGTAGGATTCACACACAAATACACCAGACCAACGACGCTCTCCGTCTGCACTCAGTTTATCTGGCATTGGCCATGCTCAGCAAATAGCAGCTAGCGGGGCTGGGACTCGCTCTTATGTCTGTTGTCACAACAGCTGCTGAGAATCAGGATCACAAAGAGTTTAGGACAGAAACCCCGAGAAAAGGTGGTTTGTGTTTGTCTGAGAGCATTCAGGAGAAACAGTGACACCTACAAACGTGTTTTTACTGGTTTTAGCCTTTAGCCTTATTAGCAAAGTGACCTTCATCGTCAACGCCAGACAGCTGATGCTGTAATAGAACACCACACACACACACACACACACCACACACACACACACACACACACACACACACACACACACACACACACACACACACACACACACACACACACACACACACACACACACAGACCTTGAACAAACCACAATAGCTCCACTATGAGGGAATGTTCCTGATGCCTCCTGGACCATTCATGACCGTTCATCCTGAAGTCTGACCCAGCAGTTTTGATTTCCAGTTCCCATCTACCCTGGTTCAGCCCGGACTCTGTTCATGTTTGTGTTAGAACCATCCTGGTCCTGCTCTGAAGGGTTCTTGTGGTTCCACCTGTCTGAAGAAGCTTGTGAAGGAGGAAGGAGTCCATCTGGATCCAGAAGGTGATAGTGGCAACATCTCATCTGTGTTTGTTTACATGTTTACCAGTTTCCTTTAAGGCTGTTTTTATGTTGTAGTTAACCTCCTGAAAGTCTGAGTCCTCGTACGAAAATCTCGGCTTGACTTTACTAAAATTTCACATTTAACTGAAACTTTTAATTTTTCACAGAGACCTGGCTTCAAGTTTAAATGTTTTAGTTTTTATTTGTGTTTTAATCATTTATTTAAAGAACATTTTAAAGCTCTGAAATAATAACTGCAAAAAATATTAATTTATCAAATTCATAAGGTTTCATTTATTCCAAATGGATGAGATTTAAAATTCACATAATTTATAATTTTAAAGGAAAATAAACAAATTAATAAATGGATGTCATCCCATGAACCTTGATGGGGATATTCCCTTTTAATTATTTTACTTTGTCCATATTTTCAAAGCCTTTTTTGCTTCTGCCTGTAAGTCGGGACCCACAGCGGGCCCAGATGAGGTCTGTGATGGTTACCATGGTGATGTGATGAGCCTGTTTTTGTGTCCCGCTCAGGGTGAAGATGTCCCTGAAGCGCCGTCTCGTGTCCATGCTGTTGTGTTGTGTTTACTGTGTGGCCTCGCTCTTCTGCCTCCATCCAAACCGCAACAGCAGCTTCTCAGCCGGATCTCGGTGAGTTCACCGTCACATGGGCTGAAAGTTGAGCCAGTTCAACCAATCAGCTTCCTACCTTTATAACTGGTCTCCATCATGCCTGCTAGTGGTTTTAAAGTCTGACAAGATGTGTTTTTTTTCTAACTTTACAACATTCAGTGCAGTGTTCATCTAGTTGACAAAATGTTTTTGTTTTTCTTTTCAAGACAAATTATTTTGTTGTGTGTAAAACTAAAAATGATCACTTTGATTAAAATGTAATTATGCTGAATAATGATCGACATTTTCGTTGATGAATAAAAGAGGACAACAAAAATTGACAGTAGCGAAAATCCAATTAGAAAACGGGAATAATGGGTTGAATGAACAAAAGAACCAATCAACAAATGGAACAGGCGGGATTAGATGATAAAAGAACCAATCAGAGTCCAAAGCCTGCTGCTGTTTGAACAAGCTGCCGGTGTTACGTTGATATGTGTCCTCCTCGAGATCTGTTTCTTTTGTTTATAAATATTACTGCACATTTTACAGATATCCTTACATTATTAATACTGACAGACACAATTTCAAACTGTCAGAGTTCATTCTGGGTCTTTTCAATAATTATTGCTATTAAAACCATTATAAATAAAGTTTCATTGATCCAAAGTGTGAAATGTGAATTTAATTCGTATACAAAAATATGTATAAAACTACAGCCTAGAGGCTATTATGCAATGTCAGGAATGCAGAACTGTCAAGTACACATCTGGCAGGAACGGCCAATCACTCGTTAGCAAGTATCAGCAGAGCCAATAGATGTGCTCATGGACGGTTCTGATGCAAAAAGGCTTCAACACAAGCAATTGTTTTGCACGTGGTCCTGGTGCTCAACCAGTGTCTATTTAATATAGCGTAAGATTGTTTTTGGACGGTAAAACGTGCCGAGGACAAAAATTGACTTCGGAAAAAGTCTACATCCACAAACCTAAACTCAGGTTAACCTGCCTTCTGGATGACTCCTCCTCTAAACGCCTGTTTGTCTCCGTCTTCCAGGAATCTGGTGTCTGTTGTCCAACAGCTGTACCAGCGCGTCATTCGGATGTTAAGAACCACACTTTGACTTCCTGTGTTTGGACGGACTTTCTCCAACAGTGTGGAAGCATCAAACAGCAACATTAAATAAGGAATAGAAGAAGAAACAATGTGGAATGGTGCGCCTTGAACTGCAGTTTTCTGGACCTGGTTTCTTTGTTATCTTAAACCCACAAAAGCATCTTGATGATTCTGTTCTACTGATGAAGTTCTCTTAACATTGTTGATGTTTTGTTGTGTGAGGAATGATTGGAGTGGACATCACCTCGGAAATCCTTGGAGTTCTTCAGCTCTCTGTGACCGTTGTTGGAAAACGATTAATAACAGCAGAACCTGAGATAGTTTGTTTGTCTGAACGTTGTGTAAAACAAAAGCATCGATGCTGGATGTGAAAGGTTATCGGAAGTAAGTGAGAACAGAGAAACAGGAAGTGACAAAAGGGAAAAAGGAAGGAAGAAATAGAAGCAAGAGTTAAACACACAAGATAATAAAAAAATTAATAAGATGCACCAAAATTACTATCTGGAGATCAGAATCAGAACAAAAGTCAAATTTCATTTGTATATTTTGGTTCATGAACGCACCCTCGCTAAGTGTCAATCTCAGCTATCCTACTTTCTATCTGGAGGTTTTAAGATCCAGCATCACATTTATCAAGTTGATTAGGCTTTTGTATCGTATTAAATTAATTATGTTTCTCTCAGATAAACTGTATCGGCAGCTGAACCACCATCAGAAATCCTCTGTATCGACCCTCCCGCCAGAATCGGTGCATCACTATAAAACATTTTGGTGACGTGAGACTGAGTAGTGAGAAAATCAAAGCTTCAGAACAAAGACAGAAAGAAACTAGTTTATGTTTAAAAAGGTTTAAAGGCGATCTGATCAGGAGAGGACAGACTAGAACATGTTTGGTGCAGCAGAAGCATCGTGATCAGAGTTCAACCCAAATCTGATCCAAACGTCTTGATGCGAGTGACAAGAAGAATACAAAATCCAAACACGGAGCAGATTCTTGACCAAAAACTTGGAATTTTTAGCAAAGACGGAGGAAACAAAAGTCAAAATTTATCATAATTTTTAACAAATGTTTTTCCTAACTTTTTATTTTCTCTTGCCTTGGTTAAAGAGCAAGTTACTCCAAATCAACTTTTTTTTGCTGATAAACTATATAAATGAGTGTCTGATCGTGCTGTAGACAAATGCAGTCAATAATTCGGCACTTTAGTGCATCTTAGTTAAATTTTAAATATTCTGCCTGAAACTGTGAGTGAAGCACCATCGTCAGGTAAAAACTCAGCACTATATCTGAATTTAATCGCTATTGGCTAAGTGGTACACTGTGATGTTAGATTATGATGTCACAATGTCGTGAGCGTGTGTATTTGCTAGCGGCTCCGCCCTCTCGTTCTGGTAGGCAACAGCATTTGTTGCATTTTTCAAACAGGAAGAGGGAGTTGAGTAAGAATCTGGTAGGGGTGACTTGCTCTTTAAAATCCAGCTGATATTAAAACTCCAGCTGCTGTTTATTCTGACATTTACTTGTTGCTCACATTTTCCTGTTGAGGAGAAGCTGACTGAGATTTCTTCTACGTCAACAAAAACTCCAATATTCATGTAAAATCATGTAAAATCAATATTTTAGGTTATTTTCTTTATTTGGAACAAATATGAAATAAGATCCCAGTTTCCATCAACTTTATCCGAAATTGTTTCACTAATTAATGATGTTTGGTGTCAAAAAAGCTCAGAAACAGGTTGGTTTCTAGGAGAAATGAGGATATTTTTGTGGCTGTCTCATGTTGCACCGATCTTGAAAAGTTGATAGAATATTAAAGTTGTAAAGTTTTGTCATACTGTTTATTTGAATTAGAACCAGCCCAACTTCCTCTGCTGAACAGGGAAAGTTAGGCTAAGATGCATCTCATCAAGCTTCTTAGAATTAAAAGAACAGAAGCTAAAAAATCCTGTTTAATACAGATCTGAAGATCTAACTCAGATCTGGAGATGTATTTATTAAAATATTGAGCCGGATTTCAGATGCTTTTGTTTTAATGTTTATTGAGGTGGTCATAATGATCTGTCCTTTCTGAAAACAGGATGTTCTTGTGGTGAATAAAGTTTCATGAATTGGTTTCTACAACAGTTTTTTCCTCTAAATGCAGAAAGGATATTAAAATAAAATCAGTCACAAATTCACTTAAAAAGAGGTTATAGCTGCAAGAGGCAGTGCTTATGTCATGTCCCTGGGATGGTGTTTAACCCACGACATGAAGAATCATCACATGACAAAGAAGAAAGTTCAAACAATGATTTATTTAACCTAACTAAAAGTGTCCTGGAAATATCCAAGTACAACGAAGCCGGCACGAGTCCAGAAGCCAGCAGGGAGGGCAGACGGTGTGACGGGGTGTCCAGGAGAGGGAGCCAGATGATGGCGGCAGAGGGCAGTGGAGTAGGAGGAGAGGCGAACCTTGAGAATTGTAATCCAGGCAGGTTATGGTGATTTCCAGGTAGGTACATCCAACAATGGTTCAGAGATTCCAAGTATCCTGAAGATGAAACAGACTTGAGTCCAAACACCAAAAAATCCAAGCACAAAAAACCAGATAAATCCAAAAACTGTGACAGCACAAATGTCTGAGCAGAGACCAAGCAAAACCTAGAACTGAGTGGCAACATTCTACCGTGAGTAGTTAATCATCCAGCGATGTGAAGTGGTTCCCTCTCCTCTTAAATAGAGCTCTGATGCGGTTGATTAGAGGATCTGCAGCTGCCGCTGATCGGTAATGCCCCGCAGCTGGTGAGTGCCCTCTCCTGGAATGACAGTCTTACAAAGATGTTGTGGAGAAGAGGGAGTACTCACCCCGTCACACAACAATGCCCCCCCCCCCCCCCCCCCCAACGGACGCCACCTGGCGTCCTAGCAACCGACTCCTCGTAGTCCCGAATGAAGGAATGGTCCACGATGAAGGAGCGCGGGACCCAGGAGCGTTCCTCTGGGCCGTACCCCTCCCAGTCGACCAGGTACTGGACCCCACGACCACGGGGTCGGGAGTCGAGGATCCGCCGGACTGAGTAGACCAGTCCCCCCTTGTAGAGCCGGGCTGGCGGCGGAGGCGCAGGAGCAGGGCAAAGAGGACTGGAACAAACGGGTTTAACCAAGGAAATGTGAAATACAGGGTGTACCTTCATGTTCCTGGGGAGGTCCAGCCAAACCGTGGTGGGAGTAGGCGTGTCCATGACCCTGAAGGGGCCGATGAACCTCGGAGTGAGCTTCCTAGAGGAGGCCTTTAGCGGGATGTCCCGGGAAGACAGCCAAACATCCTGACCAGGAGAGTACAGCGGGCGGGACGCCGGTGTCGGTCTGTCAGCTGCTTGTTCCTGGCGGCAGTGCGCTCCAAAGCCGCCCGGGTAGAGGCCCATGCCCGTCTGGCCCCCCTGAGAAACTGCGGGATGGAGACTGAAGCCGAGGACTGCTGTGGAAACAGTGAGGGTTGGTAACCCAGAGACGCCTCAAATGGTGACTGACCGGTGGAGGTGGATACATGGCAGTTGTGAGCATACTCGATCCATGCTAAATGTGTGCTCCAGGTGTTGGGTTGGGAGGAGCAGACACAATGCAGCATGGCGCCCAGCTCTTGGTTTAACCGCTCACACTGCCCATTAGTCTGAGGATGGTGGCCGGAGGTGAGGGCGACCTTGGCGCCCAGAGCTTCTGCGAACTCCTTCCAGACCCGAGCCACGAATTGGGGACCCCGGTCAGACAGAATCTCCATGGGAATACCATGCAGCCTAAAAACATGCTTCACAAGGAGTTTGGCAGTAACAGTCGAGGAGGGAAGGCCTTTAAGAGGCACCAAATGACATGCTTTTGAAAACCTGTCGACCACAGACATGATACACGCCCTGAGATTCTGAAAGACCTACAACAAAATCAAGCGCTATATGCGACCAGGGACGTGACGGATTAGGAAGGGGACAGAGGAGCCCAGCTGGGGCTCGGTGGTCTCCCTTTTGCTGAGCCCACACATGACAAGCTGAAATATAGTTCTTAATGTCTATATACATGGAGGGCCACCAGAAGGTCCGTCGTATCAGAGCTATAGTGCGGCCCACACCTGGATGAATGGAAAACCTTCCTGTGTGTGCCCAATGTATAACCTGCCCCCTAAGCGCCTGAGGAACGAATAGCCTCCCTGGGGTCCCCCTGGTCCGGGCTCGGTTTTGAGTGCCTCCAAAACCTTGTCCCGGATCTCCCAGGTGATCCCACCTACCACACACGACGAAGGAAGGATGGGTTCGGGCTCGGGTTCTTGGTCTGGTGCATACAGTCTGGATAAGGCATCGGGTTTAGTGTTCTTTGATCCAGGGCGATAAGAAATCTGAAAATTAAAGCGTGAGAAAAACTACGACCACCTGTATTGGCGGGGGTTAAGACGTTTGGCTTCTTTCAGATGGATTAAGTTCTTGTGGTCTGTCCATATTAGGAACGGCTGTTCCGCTCCTTCCAGCCAATGCCTCCATTCCTCGATGGCGAGTTTCACAGCGAGCAGCTCCCGGTCTCCCACGTCGTAACGGCTTTCCGTCAGGGACAGCCGCCTGGAGAAAAAGGCACACGGGTGCAGTTTATTGTCCTCGGGTGCTACCTGTGAGAGAACCGCCCCCATCCCGGTCTCAGATGCATCCACCTCTAGCACGAACTGCCTCTGGGGATCGGGTCTGTGGAGGACTGGAGCGGCGGTGAAGCGTCTCTTAAGTTCCTGGAAAGCAGCCTCGGCTTCTGGGGACCAGACAAATGGGCGTTTCACAGACGTTAAGTTAGTTAGCGGTGAGGCTACCTGGCTGTATCCCTTAATGAAGCGCCGGTAAAAGTTCGCAAATCCCAGGAAGCGCTGCAGTTGTTTCCGGGATGAGGGGGTGGGCCACTCCGTGACCCCGCGGACCTTCACCGGATCCGCTCTGAGTCTCCCGTGTTCCACGATGAACCCAAGGAACTTGACCTGTGGGACATGAAACAAACACTTCTCTGCTTTGACATATAAGCGATTCTCCAACAACCGCTGGAGAACCGCTCTAACATGTTCCACATGCTGTGCAGAGTCCTCAGAAAAAAATCAAAATGTCGTCTAAATAAACTGTTACAAACTTATTCAGGAAATCGCCCAACACAGAGTTCACAAGCGCCTGGAATACAGCAGGGGCGTTAGTCAACCCAAAGGGCATAACCAAATACTCATAATGTCCAATAGGAGTCTTAAAAGCCGTCTTCCACTCATCCCCTTGCCTGATACGCACCAGGTGGTACGTGTTCCTAAGATCCAGATGGCTAAACACCCGTGCGTTCTGCACAGGTTCGAAGGTCGAGCTGAGTAGAGGCAACGGGTATTTATTCTTTACAGTGATCTGGTTTAGTCCTCTATAGTCTATGCAAGGTCTGAGGGTACCTTCCTTCTTTGGGACGAAGAAAAACCCCGCGCCCAGGGGAGAGGAAGAGGGTCGAATGAGTCCAGCGGCCAGGGATTCCTGTATGTAGGTCTCCATGCTCTCCTGCTCAGGTCTGGAGAGGTGGTACAGACGACTGCTGGGAAGAGGAGCCCCAGGCAGCAGCTCTATGCTACAGTCAAAAAGCCTGTGTGGAGGAAGAGAAGTAGCTCTGTCCTTACTAAATACCTGTGCGAGGTCGTGATACTCCTGGGGTACATTAGACAGGTCAATCTTCTCGGCTATGGCGGTCTGGACGTGCTGATGTTAGGAGGGGCTGCTCCGAGGCAGGACTGGGAGCATCTCGGGCTCCACCCCTCCACTCTTCCCGTCTCCCAGTTCACCTGGGGATTGTGGCGGAGGAGCCAAGGGTGACCGAGCACTACTGCAGTCTGTAGGGAGGGAAAAACAAAAAACTCTATTTCCTCCACATGATTTCCCGACACCCTGAGTTTTACCGGGACAGTCCGATGCGTGATGGTGGTTAAGCTGCGTCCATCCAGAGCCGCCACCGCGAGTGGAGTGGAGAGCCGGGTCGTGGGAATTCCCCACTGACGTACTAATTCTGTGTCAATCAAAGATTGTTCACAACCTGAATCCAATAAAGCATCTACCGGAAACTGTTTAGCGTTAGCGTACAACATACAAGGTAACACACTACGGGACCCCTTAGAGTTCTGACTGCCCACCAGTAGTCCCAACATTACCGTTGGGCACGCCCCTTTTACCAGAACCGGGCAGGCTTTAGCAAAGTGCCCAGACCCCCCACAGTACATGCAAAGACCTGACCTCATGCGATGTTCACGTTCCTCCTTGCTGAGTTTGGTCTTTCCTAATTGCATGGGTTCCTCCGGGGGGTGACTCACTGACCCAGTTGACGGTGTAGGTGTAGGCACGTGAAGCTCCCGGTGCCTCTTGTCGAGGGAGATGGCCAGCTTGATCAGCCCCTCCAGGGACTGAGGTTCCGGGCACATGGCAAGCTGGTTCCTAATGCGGCTGTTTAGAGCCTCCGTAAAGGCGGCGATGAGGGCCTCCTCGTTCCAGGCGGATCGAGCCGCCAGGGTACGAAAATCCAAAGTCATCTCTGCCACCGTCCTCTGCCCCTGTGACAACGTCCACAGCCTCCTGCTTATGTCCATGGGGGATATGTTAGAGCCAAAAGTCAACTTAAATTCTGCCAGGAAAACGTCCAAGGGGCCTGCCAAAAAGGCAGGGTTGTGGCTCTTAGCTTCTGCCCACCTTAATGCTTTTCCTCGTAGCAGTCCAACAAAATTAGAAATGCGACTTACATCAGTGTGGAAGGCTCCAGGAGACCGTGCAAACGCCAACTGACACTGGAGGAGAAAACTGTGGCACTCCTCAAACTCTCCACTGTACGTCTGAACAGGAGGTGCAGGGGCGGTGCGGTAATAGGCGGGTTCCGCGGCCGTGGCCCCTCCAGTATTGAGCTCAGGAACGGCGAGGTTTCCTTGGGAGGTGGTGGCTCTCTCCTGAGAGGGTTCCTGAGCCTGGAGCTGGGTCAAGCCCTGTTGAAGTTGACGGATCATGGCCTCCAGCTGTTGAGATCGTTGGTTAACAATCTGGAGGTGTTCCAATAAGACCGGCAGGGCCTGTTCCTGCTGAGTTAACCTAGAACTGAAATCGGTGAGTGATGATTCCGTGGGGTTAGCGTTTTGGCTGGATGATTCTGTCATGTCCCTGGGATGGTGTTTAACCCACGACATGAAGAATCATCACATGACAAAGAAGAAAGTTCAAACAATGATTTATTTAACCTAACTAAAAGTGTCCTGGAAATATCCAAGTACAACGAAGCCGGCACGAGTCCAGAAGCCAGCAGGGAGGGCAGACGGTGTGACGGGGTGTCCAGGAGAGGGAGCCAGATGATGGCGGCAGAGGGCAGTGGAGTAGGAGGAGAGGCGAACCTTGAGAATTGTAATCCAGGCGGGTTATGGTGACTTCCAGGTAGGTACATCCAACAATGGTTCAGAGATTCCAAGTATCCTGAAGATGAAACAGACTTGAGTCCAAACACCAAAAAATCCAAGCACAAAAAACCAGATAAATCCGAAAACTGTGACAGCACAAATGTCTGAGCAGAGACCAAGCAAAATCTAGAACTGAGTGGCAAGATTCTACCGTGAGTAGTTAATCATCCAGCGATGTGAAGTGGTTCCCTCTCCTCTTAAATAGAGCTCTGCTGCGGTTGATTAGAGGATCTGCAGCTGCCGCTGATCGGTAATGCCCCGCAGCTGGTGAGTGCCCTCTCCTGGAATGACAGTCTTACAAAGATGTTGTGGAGAAGAGGGAGTACTCACCCCGTCACACAACAGCTTAAAACTGGGTTTTTCTGTTTAAAGCCGAGCTGGACTGAAGCCACCAGATGTTCTGCTGTACAAATGACCCAA